CGGGCCCCGGGGTAAATTTTTGGCGGGCCCCTTTTATTTTACATTAATATTCATATCCATATTGAAAACATCAAACTTAAAGTCTATGACGTGTCTTTACTCTAACTTAAATCAAAATCAATCTTAAAGTCTAGAACTAGATGTTTCTTTAATTAGTTAGGTTGGTCAACGGATCCTTTCATTTTTTTAACAAGTTGCATTTGTTAGAATGTTTTTTTTTTTTTTTTTTACATTATTCACCTTTTCAAGGCCAAGGGGTCACTATAGTCGAAGAGGCTACTCATTTTTTTTTGTGTTTTTATTTTTTATTTTTTGTTGTTAATTGTGGTACAACTCTTTAACTCAGAAACACGAACTTTGGCAAGCAAGGTCGCTGCGCGGAGTAACTAAGTTGTTTCTCAATAATAAGAGGTCATCAATTAAGCTTTTTAAATTTAAAACCTCCACATCTAAAGTTGCATCTCTGGCTTGCAGAACTGTGTTTCTGTAATTGATGCTTGTTAGAACTTTAAACCAAGTGCTTGCGAGTATAATGCACTCAAATGAACCCAAGTATTTCTCAATACGTTTGATATCTGATCAAGTCTCGGCAGTAAGATTTGACTTTTTTAAGTCTTGGATAGCACTCTTTAAACCAGGAATATGTTCTGCAAAAGGTTTTACACTTTCAATCCTGGCTAACCAACGTGTATCTGACATGCTATGCAAAGAGCAATGTTTTCTTTTAAAATTTGCCATCTTTGCGGGCTTGAGCTGAACAAGTTATAAGTCTCTTGCACAACACCGAAGAGGTTTATAACCTCTGCACAGCAATCTGCGGCATGGACACCACACAGATTTAAGCTATAACAAGCACATGGAGTATAAATTGCCAATTGGTTCTCTTGAATTATCTCTGCTTGTGCTTCTTTATATTGACCGCTCATGTTGCTACCGTTGTCATAACCTTGACCACGGTAGCAACAAGGATTGACTTTGCTTGTGATACTCTCTAAATGAGAAAGCAATAAAATTCAACCTTGGAAAAATTACTGAAAAATTTTCATTAGAAAAATCTCAAAGAATACCGTTATAAATTTAACTACTAGTCAGTAATTTAAGTTTTTATTTAGAATTGGTTTGTTTGGACTATTTGATTTCCATAATCTATTGAAATCTTTGAATCGATTGTTAAGGGCAAGACGGGGAAAAATGGCAAATTTTTTGAAAACTCTAAGTTATTGCACTGTATTTTCATTTTGCAAGTAGAAAAAAAGTTTGAAATTAAAATTAAAAGTTCATATGGTTACGTAACTGGGGAAAGATAATTTATTATGCGATTTCTGCCATTTTATAAAATTTCAAAAACTACCGCTCAAACTAAAGTAAAACAAAATAAATACGCGCAGCATTTCTAAAAAAGTTACACCCGAAAGACACCATCATTATGAATAACCAAAACTGACTTATTTTTTTTAAGCGCAAAAAGAAACTTATGCGTATAAAATTGAGTTAATAATATTAAAAAAACTAATTGACATTTTAAAGATGTAAAACCAGTTTTTTCTTTACCTATTTTTAAGTTTTTTTTGTTGAATTGTTATATGAAAAACCATCTCGCCCCATTCACCACCTTGCCCTGTTTTCCTTATCGTAAATTGTGTTAAAATTGTATTAAATACGCGAATATTGGAGGAAGGAGAACACCTTAAGTACGTTTTTTCCGGGCGTCGCAAACCCTAGGGACGGTACTGGATTGACCTACAAACACATAAACTATTAAAATAAGAGTAAACGCATTGGTGTGGTGTGACGTACTTAAACCACTCATTAAAATTAAATTTTACAATTTTTTTTTACCTGCTAAGAAGGGATCCCATGTTAAGTTCCAGACGTGCAGTAATGTATTGTAGCTGCAGATGCTGTTTACTATAATTTGATTTTAACTTTTTCTGATAATTTTATGCAACTTTATTCTTGAGTAACATTCTGTTGTAGCTTCTTTGGAAAAAAAGCCACTCCTTTTTTGTTGTTGTTGTTGCGTCATATAATTTTTAGACTTAGTTGTTACAACTAACAGTTTATTTATTATCACACAACAGTGTTTGTGATTGCCCCCTTATGGGTTCTGAACACTAATGGTTTTATTTTTGCCATAAATTTTTATTTTATAATAAGATTAGTAAAAATTACTTTTAAGGGTTTGTGACTGAATAGTTAAACTAATTGATAAGCAATAAATATGTATAACTGGTGTCTTTAATTCGCATTCCTGCAAAGGTGTTTGTTAATACCCCACTCTCCCCTACTTCAATTCGTCAAGATAAATGACAAAACTATTATTATAATTGAATATTTTACAAACCTAAGAAAGAACTGGATTGGTGTTAACAAAAGCTATACCACAAAAACTCTTTTTCGATTGTTGTGACCCGGGATATGTCAATAGTGCAACAGAAGTATTCAGAATTTTAAAAACCAACAAAAAACTTGCTCTGTACCATGCGTACCATTGTCACAGTCTAAACTTGCTGCTTTCAGATTCGGATATGTCTTCTGTAACCCCAAGAAATTTTTTTTAAATTATTAAGCAAAATTAAATTCTATTTTGTGCATTTATTTACTTGAAAGTTAACTTTTTTAGTTACTTTATGTGCTTGGTATGATAATTTATTTCAGGCAAATTTATTAAGCAAAATCATGCAAAGTGATTTTGCGAGTGAGTGACAAGTAGATAATTCACATCTACTTGACACTCCATCCGAATTAGCAGTTGAAGAATTTAATTTATTTACAGAACTGAAATCATTAGCAAATGTGTCACCGTAAAGTGGTCTCTTGAAATTATAAAATTTATATAAAACAATTGTAAAATCTTAAGATTTTACAACTGCTGTTTATTAACCTTATAAAATATATATGTATATATATATTTATATATATATATATATATATATATATATATATATATATATATATATATATATATATATATATATATATATATATATATATATATATATATATATATATATATATATATATATATATATATATATATATATATATATAAATCATAAATCGATGAATATTTGAATAAACAAAAATATGAATTTACCATATATGTTCGTCATTTTTTAATTCTAATTTTTTAACTGGAGAGTTATGTATTTTTTTAAGTATTTAACAGGTTATTGTTGAAATATTAAATTTAAAATTACATTCTTAAACAACAATTCTACAAGTACAAAAAGCTCCTGTATATTAAGGTGTATAGTTGAATTAGACGAAAAAAACACTTCAAAACAATAAATGATCGGGCAGATTAGAAAAACTGCTAGATACGATTACAGATCTGATTACAAACAAAAACTATGAAAAAGTAACTTTAGGTGAACCACTTATTGTTTAGTTGTCTTCTTTCCATTTCAGATGGCTCACTACACCCAATCGTTTTTGAAGGTTGTAGCTTTATATATAAATATAAGCTGGAGGTTGTCTTTCTTTTTAATGATGTTAAAATAATCTTGAAGACACTTGATTTCTCCTGGTAGAAGAATTTGGTGTTTTAGTAATAACTTTTTTACCATTCTTCAAAATCTTCCTGAGCTGTTTGTAGTTCATACAAGTTCTGGGATAAGCGGATATTCGATATTGGAAAACATGTTATTTCCTCTAAGTTCTTCATCCTACTATTCGAAGGAATCTGTCAAGAACATGATGTTAACAACAAATGAATTCTTCCAGGTTCTTCCAGTTTTTTCCAGTAAAACGTCTTTAGTTGACTCTTTGTAGTTGATGGACAATCCTATTCCTTTTTCCCGTATTTACATTAGCAGTATCCGCTACAACCATCATAATACTCTTTTATAAATAGCTTTTATCGAGAATAGCAGTTATACCTTTAACAACGGTATCTGCTTTTCCGTCTGGTAGATCTAGCACTTGCAACTCAACTTCTTTTTGTTTATTCTTCAACACTTGATATTCTTGGTGACTAATACGTTTACCATCAAGTGCAGTGACCAATTTTCTAAATGTAGAAAACCTTTTTGTTTGTTTTTCTTTAAGAAACCAGTCGGTACTTTGAGGGGACGGTACTATTAATGGAGGGGGTTCACCCCCTCCCCTCATTTTATTTGTAGAATTGCCTCTGGTTGTAAATCAATGACAACTAGGACTCCATTATTAGTTGAATTAATAAGTAGTTCTGATAAGTTGACATCATTTAAAGCAGCTTTTCAGTTTTAAAAATACTGGGAAATGTAAAATTTTATATAAACTTTTAAAAATGAATTGGAAATTTTATGTAAACTTATAAAAATGAATTGGAAAGACTATCGTAATAAAGTTTTGTAAAATAAAATAAAAATTCGGTTTTGAAAATAAATAGGTGAATTAGTTTTCACTTAACAAGGTGAGTTGCACAACCCCTTTGATTATGGAATTGTCTATGATTAGTATTACCAAATAACATAATATCGATCACTCAATTTTTACAGATAATTTCATCGTAATATTTTAAATCAGCGTTTTGAAATTTTCCCCCGAGATGTAAACTATAAAAAAGCGCGTTAGCCGCACATAAACGAATGAAATCCAAAATTTACTAAAACTGGCCTTAAACCGCCTGAGTATCTTTTTAGCCTTTTATGGGTAAAGCTAGATTTAAACGGCATAAAACTCAGTAAAAACTATGGAGAGTATTGCAACCTATTTCAATAGAAATAAGGTAATAAATAATAATAATAAATATTTAACAACAATCAAAATAAACATTTATTATAATAATTTATAAAAAAATTTATAATAATGCATTTCTTTTATAAAAAATAAAGTTATTTATACAAATAAAAAAATTGCAATAGTTATGCTGTTTTTTAAAAAAAGAAAAAAGTAAATTTACTTTAGACCGCTTTGCAGTAGAATTATACTTTTATGTGTGCAGCCGAATATTTATTTTCCGAATAACTGTGGGAATGATTTTAGGTAATATTTAAAAATAACTATACTCAACTTACCATTCTTGTTTCTTTTTACAATAGTAGGTTCTGAAAATTTTACACCAAAATCTTCATTTATAAACTTTTTGCTTGGATTGTCTCTGTAAATGTAGCTGATGCTTAAGTTTAAAACATTTGATGACGATAAAACAAACCATCCATCGATTGTTACTTTACCAAAACGTCTTTCGGAACAAGTCATGCGAACAGGTTTTACATAACGCATTATTTCCGGGTCAAAAGGATTAAGGGATGGTAAAATGCATGCGTTTGAATCCCCATGTTCTAATCTTTGAGGGATTTTAGCGTTTAAATTCATTCTTTGTAGTCTTTCAGTGCTTTTAGTTATATTTTTTTTCAAAATAAATACCCAGTCAATATATATAAAATTTATAAAAGTACTGATAAAAACAATAACAATCAGCGCAAACGTAAACACAATCAAGCGTTGTAATCGCATTTTTTTACTTTTCTCAAAGTCTATAAATCTGTTTTCTATAAAGAAATATTAAAAAATCCCGTAATAGAAAATAATATAATTTCTTTATACATATTTTGAATATAGCAATATCAATAAAAAAACAACTTCAAAACAATATCATGTTTCTTATGTTTATTTTGTATAAAAGAAACAATGTTATATAATTTTTAAAGACGTATGTCTCATTCTAAGATATAATCATTTGAATGCTGTATATAGTTAATAACTTGTTGTTTAATATAGTATTAATCTAGGGTCCAGGATTTTTTGGTGTGGAGGAAGGAGGGATCTTAATACTAAAAGTGGTCTGCATACATACATATATATATATATATATATATATATATATATATATATATATATATATAAATATATATATATATATATATATATATATATATATATATATATATATATATATATATATATATATATATATATATATATATATATATATATATATATATATATATATATATATATATATTTGCTACAAATTTTCTTTTCAGCCCCCTAACATTCTTTTAAGATCAACATAAAAAACAAGAATTTTTTCAAACATTTAATGTCACGCACAACAAAGTTTAAATAAAATCAAAAAATACCAAATTAGTAATTAAATAAGCTACTGAAAGTCTTTTTTTGACTTAAACAAAGGCATTAGTTCACGATTTCGCAAATGTGTTCTAATAAAACCATCTCATTTATCCCAACCACAGACTGACTCAGCTGCTTCTGTGACTAATTTGACTGCTCTCTCGCAACTTTGAGTATGTAATGAGTATGGAGGTAGCTGCAGGGGAGAAACTATTAATGCATTGAGTTGGACTAACGACATATTTGTAGTGAAAATTGGCTCAGTACCAACCTCTTTTTTCCAATCAATAAGTTCTTTAATGTCACATGCATCAAGGTTTATTGTTTGTGGAACTTTAAAAGGTCTAACATCATTTGAGCCCAGCTCACTTCCCCTCCTAACGGTCAATATTGTGTCGACTGCAAATAACCTTTGTTCTGAGTTATCAGAACAGTGAAGCGAGACAAGTATATTCTCAGGATGAGCCCACCAAAATTTATTTCTGAGATAAAGTTTAGGTGCTTCTTTAATCCTATCATCTTGCTTCTGCCAAAGTCGAAACAGCTTTAAAAGATGACAAGAACCGTATTTAATGTCATGCTTTACTTTAATCTCAAAGAACTTTGGAAGATAAACCTGAGTCACCCAAGTTGCAAGCAGTCTTAAGATCTCTGCATTAGCAGGTTCAAGATCATGCTTACTCATATAGAGAAGCAAGCATCTAAAAAGTTTTCGATTGAGAAGTTCTTCCACAAAATGAATCATTCCACCTTTCCATCCAGACATTTCATTTGTAGTATCACTGCCAATTAGTTGGAGATTAAGATCTTTACCTCTTTGCATTAACCAGTTGAATAATCCAATAGCACATTGCTTGGCTGGTTTAGATGTTTCTGACTTAGGCTTTAGTGTATAATGAGTAAGATAACGACCTCTAGGTTCTTCTGTCACAGTTATATGATTTTCTTTGATAATTTTTTTTCTGAAGGTGCCTGTGGTTTTATCATGGATAAGAATTAAAATTTTGTCTTTTCTACCATCAACAAAAATTCCAGTAATTATATTTCTTTCATAGTTGAAATTTTCTTCTATTCTGGAATACTTCTTAGCACGCTCTTTGGCACGAAAAACTTTCATGCTATCACAAATAAGATTTTTTTTATCTTCAACAAGTTTCCCTGCTTTCATGATATCTTTCAGTAGACCATTAATGATTGCAGCAGTAGCAGTCGATGATACACCAAATCTAACAGAAGCAACGGCAGCATTACTAATATCAAGGTAGTTTCACTTCACATAATTATCTTGCTTTTCTATGGTCGAGTCCTCTTTGCTATCACTGACTATATCACTATCACTGACTTTATCGATATCACTGACTTCTTCACTATCACTGACTATCACATCATTTGAATTATTATGCATTTCTATTGTAACATCCACATTTTCAACATCAAATCTAACAGCCGATGGATAAAATGTTTCTAATGACTCTAACTTAGATTTGAAGCTTCTTCTCGTTGTCGTGCGAGTCTTGCTTGATCGATTGACTTGCGTAAGTGTTTTAACCTAAGTTTGGCAGTCTCTTTAACATCCAAACCAAATTCTTGCATAGATGAAATACTGCCTTGTTTTTCTCGCTGGTTTTTTATCCAAATAAGCTCTTTTTGAGGAATTCTTAAATTTAAGTCACATTTGCAAAGGCAATGAGTACCGCTATCACAAGATTCTTTGCAAGGGGGATCATTCTCACTGCAGTAAACAATTCTGCATTTGCAAAGAGCAATATCTAAAAGTTTATCAAGCTTAGGCTCTCAGTGTTTTATGTAAAATTTTTGAGATTTGTTTCGAGCTATCTTAGAGAATGCAGACCAACTTCTACTGAGTCTTAGTGTTATTCCTTTTGTTTCACAAACTATGGGTTCTTTAAACTCTGTGTTGGAAATAAGCCATCGTTCTGCAACCTCATAAGCAACATTAGAAAAAATTTCTTGCATTGATAAATTACGCTGATTTTTTTCATAGACTAGTATTCTGTCTCGCTGCAGATCCAGACAACGCTGTAAACAGTCACGTAAGGCTGGAAATTCAGTTTGGAGGAACTTTCTAGGACCTCCAAGATACTCACTTAGTTTGGTATTAATCGATTTTCTGGTTTTCTTGCTAACTAATAACGCCATTTTTCTTTTTTTAATATATTATGAGTCTGAATGATATAAAGGCAGCAATAACAGCAATTAATTTGAAATTAAATTTAAATAGTAATTATAATATTTATAAGGTATATTTGTATATTAACTGATGCTTATACATAAAATAATTTTTAAAAAAACTCAAAACATATTATCAAAATTAAGCATAGGGCTAGCAGTATTTTAAATAATTATTATGTACATTTATAGCATAAATAGTCAATAATTAGAAAAAAACACAATATTTTTGGAAAATTAAAAACGTTTTCCCGGTAGCAAGACTTGTTTTTTTACTAAAAAAAATTATACCATTCAACTCAGGGTATATGAATACATAGGAAAAGTGATGTACTGAATGAAATTCATAACATGCAAAAGTATGATATACCCTACTCTACATGGCAACTAGCCGGCGGAGGATAAACCACAATACCATAATTTGGCAACGAAGACTGATAGTTACATTTCGTAAGCTACAAGTTTAAAAAATGTTGATAAAAGTTTATCTCATTCAACTTCTAAACGCACATTTTGAAACCAAATTATTGAAACATACGCTTAAATTTTACAAATGTTTGTTTATGATAGTTAAAACTACCATGCGTTTTTTCAAATTTACTTTTATTTCATTTTTCTCCTACTTAATTTACACACTATATACATGTTTTTTTTATAAGTATATGAAATTTTTGAAACAGACTCGGGTATGCTTATGTAAATAGTTCTAAAAAACTCAAAAGTATGCTTAAGCATATTTCTTAAAATATACGTATTTCAATACTTCTTAATTAGCGCATACATTTTTGACAAAATTTCAAATATTTTTCAAAAAAAACTATGTTGTAATATAACAATCAAAAATAACATGTGTAAACATTAAAAAACTATATACAAATGTTATCAATAAAATCAAAGATAAAAATTTCGCTGTCGTTCTTCCCGGAACTAATAAATGTATCATCTAGACAAAATCCATTGAATTCTTTATTTATAGCATCATCTACTTCAACCGGTTGAAAATCACTAGAGTTTCGTTCGGGTTGATCACTGACAGAATCAGTTATAGATGGCGAAAGCACATTGTAATTATCATCGCTCCCCAGTTTGATAAGTGAATCATCCAAGCCATCAGAAGTGATTAAGCATCCAGTCATCGTCCAGCATTTCCTTCTTTATTTATCATACTTAGAAGAGTTTAAAATTTTCCACGTTTCCCCTGCCCAATGCGTAATCAAAATTCGTCTCTTTTGTAGTGTAGGGCATTTTATTACTGAACTATTTATCTGAATAATTATCTGTATCCATCCATTTTTAATGTTTAATGGCAATGAGCCATTTTAGAGTGGCAGATTATCCTGCGTCAACTGGTTGTCAAAGATCAATATTACTTTGAAGACCCAAACAAAGGAATTGTTTAGCATCAGCTACAGAATCTTTAAAATCTTCATTCATCTGTCCCTTAAATTGTCCAGCAAAAGAACAAATTTATCAAGATTTTGTGCTTTGATAAACGGAAGTAGTGTTTCATCACACTAGCACTTACAAACGTTTTGGTCTAACCAAGAATGTTTTTGAATGTAAACGGGAATATTTTTATGCTATGCTAACTTTTTGTCTTTGAAATGCGCTTAATTGACCCCTTAAAATGATAGCTAGCTTAAATGATAGCTTAAATGATAGCTTTGGTTAAATGATACCTTAAATGATAGCTTTGGTTGCTCTTCTTCTGGTCAAACCATAATTTGAAGGGAACACTGCCTTTTTTCAATCCTGAGCCCGGTTGTAAGATTCTCACAATTTTTGCATCCAGCAAGAGTTTCCACATCTTCTAACGGCAATTAGATTGTATTCTCTTCTTCTCTGTGCATAACCTCTTTAGTGAAACCAAATGTAGCCAGTTTAAGCTGCTTTCTCTTTATTTTTTTCAACATTATTATTACTTTTTTTTTACAGTATTTGAATAAAAGAATTAGAGAGAGAGAAAGAAATATTACACTTCATAGCACTTTTTTCGAAGTATTTGAATAAACTAAAATAAAATAATTTTTAAAATATACTTAAGCTCTAAATAGGAGTTTATGTTTTGCTATGCAATAGCATCATGAATTCATGATTTCGTTGCGTTGCAAAACATAAACCTATATGATTACCAAAACATAAACCTGTATGATATTCTTTTAATGATTTTAATGGTTTAAGTTAAAAAAAATATATTAAAAATTTTTAACTAAAATTTTTTTATCGTTAAAATGGCTTATCAAGGCTCAACAATACGC